GGCCTGTCCCCGGGGCCAGAAGATGGGGAAGGACCCGGGCCCCTGACACCTCCCCTGCTGCCAACCCGGCCCCACCTCAGCCCCGTAGACCGTCCACAGGGAGGGCTGAGCCCCCCAAGGGAGCGGCTGCCAGGAGCCAGGAGGAGGGACCCCCCGCTGCTCAGAGCAGGGCCCTGGGCCGGGCACCTCCCGGGTGAGGACAGGGCGCGGCCTCGCCCACAGCCCTGAGCCTCTCTCTGCTCAGGGCCCCCCTCGGGGTCTGGACACGCAGAGGGCTCTGGGCAGGGACAGGGGAGGGAGGCATGACGGGGCCTCCCGCTGTTCTCGGCTCCCTGTGCTCCTCCATCCGCTGAGGGCAGGTGGGGGCTCGGGCCCTGGTGCTGCGTGGGCACCGGGGGCACCAGGCTGCTCAGACAGGAAGTCCCGCCCCCAGGCACCCCAGCTTCCTCTCTATTTGGGGGACAGAGCCAGAGAGGTGTCTGGGATGGGAGTGCTGGGACCTGAGCCCAGACGGGACCAGGGGCTCCTGCTCACCACGTGACCTTCTGTCCCTGATGGACATGAGCACAAGCACAGAAATGACAGTGATGACGAGGATGACGCTGACGCTGAGGATGATGATGACGGGGCCCCAGGGGGAGCATGTCACGTCTGAGCTGCTGGTCCCAGGCGTCGCTTCCCAGGCGAATTGGCCACTGCACCTGGGGGAGGAGGGCCCTTGGGCAGCGGGCAGGGGCACCTCGGTCCCTGGCGCTCACCCCGACCCCCCAGACCCCGAGCGTTGCCGGAAGCTTATACCAGCAGGTCATACTCAGCTGGGCTGAATCATCGGGAGGGGGCTGAGGGCATTTCCCCAAACCTGAACAGGATGCATAAAGGATTGCTGGCTGCCAGGCAGCTGAGGGCATTTCAATCTGCATGTTACTGCCTCCTGCTGGCCAAACACCTGGACAGCCGGGGGCAGTTCCCCCATCTGACCATGGACTCTGTGTACTAGCCCTGCCCTTTGATGTATATCTACCTCATCTTAGGGCAAAGTGTGTTAATAAATAGCAAGGGGTCCTGAGACAAGTAGCACTTAGTTCCTTTAGCTAAGTCTTCTCTGGTCCCCAAATTGCATTCCAAAATCATGTGTCGCCTCTGGACTCTTTAGTCATTTACACACAGCGCCTTCTCCAGATTCCTGAACCCTTCGAGCTGCTGGATTAAGACCACTAGCCTTAGAGCATCCCCTGGGCAGCCTGGTGCACAGAGGGGAAGGCTGCTGCCTGGAGTGGGCCCGGGAGGGGGGCTCTGGGGGGCACTCAGGTCCGACTTTCCCTGTCCCACAGCCACGGGGAGATGGAGGGAGGGGAGGAAGGGGCAGGACAACCTCGACACTGGTCACAAGAGAGGGACAGCGAAGGAGATGCCAGGGGTGAGGACAGAGCTCGTGTCAGGAATGGACTGTGAAGGCCAGTGCCCCAGACAGAGGGACAGACGCCCGGGGGGGGGGGTTGGGGAGGGA